TTTTGAATTTTTACCAAAATGTAAATATAGGGTTGTTCGGAAAGTCATTTCGTTTTTTTTGTGGAAATGAAAGACAGTTTTCGTATAATAAACAAATATTTTATTAAATTATATATTGACCGTTCTGGCCCAACACCTTTTGCCATCTTTCTGGTAGTAGCATAATTCCACGCTCATAAAATTTTTGGTCTTTGCTGGCAAAAAACTGATCGAGGAGGTTTTTGCCTTCCTCATTTGAGGTGAAGGTTTTACCGTCTAAAAAATTTTGGAGTGACCGGAATAAATAATAATCCGATGGTGCCAGGTCTGAAGAATATGGTGTGTGTAGCATTGTATCCCTACAAAACCAAGACTAAGATCAAAAGCGAATTTGCGAGACCAAGACTAAGACTAAACGAAAAATTATTACTTCCAATGGATTTATGAGTTAAACTGTTTGAAGTAACTTTAATATANCTTAATATTTATAATCAAAAATTAAAGTAAAGCGCGGCACGAGTAGGGAAGGAGAAGGGCATCTCATGCGGCCAACATGAAAACTGAATTTGCGCGATCAAAACTGTGCGAGCTTATAAAATTTTTAATATCTTGACCACGTACAGAAATCCTTTTGTACTTGATTTAGGGTAGCACGGCGAGATAATCAGGAATAGAATAGTTATATTTGTTTGGTGAGTGTTTGTCACACAATAATTGCGATTCAATTTTTAAAAAAGTGACTGAAAAAACTTAAAATTTTCCAAATTCATTTTTGGACCCTTTAAACTAATAAAATCCTTGCTATTTTATTACCGTGAAAGTACAACTCTTAAAGAAAAAAATAAGCCCATAATGGTTTCCGTCGGATCTTCCCTCGAGACAGAGGTGTCGAGAGCATCTTTTTTTCGAAAAATCGATATATCGGAAAATTTTCAATATTTTTTCATTTCTAAAAAAGGCACTTTATGGTTTGCCAAGGGCTACATTTACTGCGAGTAGCAAATTAAAAAACGTTAAATTGAAAGAACTAGGACGAAGACAAAGAAGACGATTTTCGACGGTTTTTTCGATATATCTCGAAAACTAATGCACTGATTGATACCAAAAAAATGGATCGGTAGATCTTTCTCATTTAATTTTTTCCTCTAGGAGCTTTATTATTTTTTTATTTGCAAAAAAACGTTTTTCTCCTCTTTTTAAACTTTTTAGAATGTCCCTGACATCGCGGATCCATTGGAAAAAAGCGTTATGTTTCTTAGAATTTTTAATTCTATTGGGATCC